CTTCCTAATTCCCCCTCCCTCAGCTCTGGAAACCACCAAACAACTTTCTGTCTCTATAAATTTGCTTATTCTGGAAGATTCACATAAATTGAATCATATGAGCCTTTTGTCACTGGCTTCTTTTTTTGTTTGTTTGTTTGTTTTGAGACGGAATTTCGCTCTTGTTGCCCAGGCTCGAGTGCAATGGTGTGATCTCGGCTCACCGCAAGCTCTGCCTCATGGATTCAAGCGATTCTCCTGCCTCAGCCTCCCGAGTAACTGGGATTACAGGCATGCACCACCACACCTGGCCAATTTTGTATTTTTAGTAGAGATGGGGTTTCTCCAGGTTGGTCAGGATGGTCTTGAACTCCTGACCTCAGGTGATCTGCCCACTTTGGCCTCCCAAAATGCTGGGGTTACAGGCGTGAGCCACCACGCCTGGCCTATGTTTTTGTGTTTTTGAGAAGGAGTCTTGCTCTGTTGCCCAGGCTGGAGTGCAGTGGCATAATCTCAGCTCACTGCCATCTCTCCACCTCCCGGGTTCAAGAGATTCTCCTGCCTCAGCCTCCCAAGTAGCTGGGATTACAGGCACGTGCCACCCTGCCTGGCTAATTTTTGTATTTTTAGTAGACATGGGGTTTCACCATGTTGGGCAGGCTAGTCTTAAACTCCTGACCTCAGCTGATCTGCCTGCCTCGGCCTCCCAAAGTGCTGGGATTGCAGGCGTGAGCCACTGCGCCCGGCCTTGGTTTCTTTCACTTAGTATAATGTTTCTAAGGGTCACCCCTCTTTGTAGCGTGCAACTACTGCGTTCCTTTTCATGGTTGATTCATATTGCCTTGTGTGAATATACTACGTTTTGTTTATCCGTTCATCCATTGATGGACATTTGAGTTGTTTCCACTTTTTGGTTTTTATGAATAATGCATCTAAGAGCATTTATATGCGTGTTTTTCTGTGAACATGTGTTTTCATTTCTCTTGGATATATACCTAGGAGTAGAATTGCTGGGTCGTATGGTAACTATGTTTTTGTTTTTTTGTTTTTTTTGTTTGAGATGGAGTCTCACTCTGTTGCCCAGGCTGGAGTGCAATGTCATGATATCGGCTCACTGCAACCTTCTCTTGCCTCCTGGGTTCAATTAATTCTCCTTACCTCAGCCTCCTGAGTAGCTGGGATTACATGTGCCTGCCACCACGCCCGGCTAATTTTTGTATTTTTTAGTAGATACAGGGTTTCGCCATGTTGGCCAGGCTGGTCTTGAACTCCTGACCTCAGGTGGTCTGCCCACTTTGGCCTCCCACTCCCACAGTGCTGGGATTACAGTTGTGAGCCACAGTGCCTGGCCAACTCCATGTTTAACCTTTTTTTTTTTTTTTTTTTTTTTTTGAAACAGGGTCTCACTCTTGTTGCCCAGGCTGGAGTGCAGTGGCACAATCATGGCTCCCTGCAGCCTCGACTTCCTGGGTTCAAGGGATCCTCCCACCTCAGCCTTCCAAGTAGCTGGGACTACAGGTGTAAACAACCACACCTGGCTAATGTTTTGTATTTTCAGTAGATACGGAGTTTTGCCATGTTATCCAGGCTGATCTCGAACTCCTGGGCTCAAGTGATCTGCCCACCTTGGCCTCCCAAAGTGCTGGGATTACAGGCGTGAGCCACCATGCCCGACCCAGACTTTTTGAATTCTAGAAGTCAACCTAAGGTCCCATCCAAGAGCCCCTGAAGCTCTGGACAAAGGGCCCTGGGCTGTAGGACCAACCTTGCTCAGCCCCTTCATCTTGCAGTAATGCTGCAGGACAGAGGAGGGGAGTGGCTTGCGCAGGGCCACATAGCCTGTGGGCACCAGAGTTGGGTCGCAGTTTAGTTCCTACTGCTCCTCTAGGGGTCCTCACCCCAGCTGGGCACACGTGCTCCAAACCTCCAAATTCCACCGCTCCCTTTACGTGGGTTCTGGCGCCCTGCTCTGTGGCTCTTAGCCACAGTCTTTCTCCTTCAAGGACTTTTTTTCTTTTTTTTTTTTTTGAGACAGAGCTTTACTCCTGTTGCCCAGTCTGGAGTGCAATGGTGTGATCTCGGCTCACTGCAACCTCCGCCTCCTGGGTTCAAGCGATTCTCCTGCCTCAGCCTCCCGAGTAGCTGAGATTACAGGCATGTGCCACCATGCCAGGCTAATTTTTAATTTTTAGTAGAGACGGGGTTTCTCCATTTTGGTCAGGCTGGTCTCGAACTCTCAACCTCAGGTGATCCACCTGCCTCGGCCTCCCAAAGTGTTGGGATTACAGGCGTGAGCCACCACGCTCAGCCCCTTCAAGGACTTTATGGGCTGCCCCAGCTGAGAGAGGGGACTTGTCATCCTAGTGTGAGCTCCTGTGGCACCCAGGAGGTGGGAGGTAGCACCTGGACAGATTGTCCGTGGTCAAATTTGGGAAATTTACTTTTAGGTTCAACCCAAGTAAAGGGTGCTCTTCAGTGTAGGCCTCATCAGGGCCTTTTTTTTTTGAGATGAAGTCTTGCTCTGTCGCCCAGGCTAGAGTGCAGTGGCACATTCTCGCCTCACTGCAAGCTCTGCCTCCCTGGTTCAAGCGATTCTCCTGCTTCAGCCTCCTGAGTAGCTGGGATAATAGGCACCTGCCACCGTGCCTGGCTAATTTTTGTATTTTTAGTAGAGATGGGGTTTCACCATCTTGGTCTGGCTGACCTCGAACTCCTGACCTCGTGATCCACCCGCCTCAGCCTCCCAAAGTGTTGGGATTACAGGCGTGAGCCACCGTGCCCGGCCCATCAGGGCCTTTATCATGCTGCTGTGTCCTGTGAATGTCAAGACATTTCATTGCCAACATTTAGAAGCAATCAAGATGTCCTTTAGTAGGCGAATGGTTATATAAACTGTGGCACACCCTGGCAATGGAATATTATTCAGTGTTCAAAATAAATGAGCTATCAAGCCATGAAAAGACAAGGAGGAACCTTAAATACGTTTTACTAAGTGAAAGAAGCCAACCTGAAAAGGCCACATACTGTGTGATTCCAACTAGGTGACATTCTGGAAAAGGAAAAACTATGGAGATAGTGAAAAGATCAGTGGTTATCAGAGATTGGGGTGGGGCAGGGAGAGATAAATAGGTAGAAAGCACAGAGGATTTTTAGGGCAGGGCAACTTTTCTGTATGATACTACAATGGTAGTTACCTGTCATCAACCTATAGTCAAACCTATAGAATACACACCACCAAGAGTGAACCCTAATGTAAACTATGGACTCTGGGTGATAATGATGTGTCAGTGTAGGTTCATCAGTCCTAACAAATGTACCACATAGATGCACGGTATGGACAGTAAGGGTGGCTACTGTGCGGGTGGGAGGGGGTGTATGGGAACTCTCTGTACTTTCTAGTCAATTTTTCTGTGAGCCTAAAACTGCTCTAAAAAATAAAATCTATTAATTAAAAAAATATATATATCCACATACACACACAAATATATTAGGAAGTGACAAGTGTTACAAAGGAAAAATAAGGCAGGGTGAGGGTTTAAGTAAGGGGTGTGGGGCATGGGCTGGCTGTTCTGGATGGGGCAAAAGTGGGGGTCAGGATCGTGAATCAGAGACTTAACGCAAGGAAATGTGCCCTGCAGATATCAAGGGAGGAGGATCTCGGGACAGGAAGCCGCAGGTGCTAGCTCCGAGGCAGGGAAGAGGAAGCACAGGGGGTCTGGGGTGGAGTGAGGCATGGAGAGTGGTCGTGGGGAGTGGGGGAGGATGAGTCAACAGGTTGGGGCCTGGAGGCACAGCCAACCTGTTCTCAGATGGGTGAGTCACTCGCTGGAGGGTTTCGGCTGGGGTGTGATGTGTCAAAATTATATTTGTGTTTTTATTTTTCAATTTTAAAAAAAGCCAGTCAAATTTAGCAGTGGGGGGTTGTGTATCAACTTTAGTGACATTATTTATGTTTTAAAAAGATGACTGCAGCTGCCGTCTGGCAGATAGACAGTAGGGGGCGAGGGTGGAAGCAGGGGGGCTCATTAGAAGGCCACACAGCCCTCCGGGTGGGAGAGGGGGCTGGGGCAGACCCTGGCGTCTGTGGCCGACAGGTGAGAGGTGGCTGGATTCTGCGTATATTTTGAAGGGAGAGTCAGCGGGGTGTAGGGTGAGGGAGATTCCTAAGTTCTTGGGTGAACAGTGGTGTTGTGTCCTGAGATGGCAAAGGCCAGCGTTGGGGCAGGCTGGGGGCTGTCAGATGGGGACATGGTAAGTGCCTACATCCAAGTGGGGCTGTTGAGGAGGTGGGTGGATGTGTGAGGCTGGAGTTCAGGGAGATCTAAGGCCACTGCTCTGATGAGATCCCAGAGGGAGTAGACATGAGTGGAGAAGAGAAGAGGCCCCAGGCCTGAGTCCTGGCCCTGTGAGGGCCCACCCAGGGAGACGGAGGTGCGACACAGAGTGGGAGTGTGGTGTCTGAGGAGCCCGGAGGCACGGGTGCCAGGGCGGACAGCGTGCTGCCAAGGAGGAGGACTGGAGACTGGCCATGGGGGTCAGCAGTGGCTGGTGAGGGCCAGAGGCCGACTGGAAAGGCTTCGGAGGGAGTGGAGGTGGAGAGGATGGGCGGGCCTTTCCAGGAGTGTCCTCTGCCACCGGAGGGAGGAGACACATGGGCCCACAACGTGGGGGGCACTGGGCGGTCTAGGGGACCCTTTTGACTTTCTCTTAAATGAGAGAAACAACAGCATGATTCTCTCTGGATGGGACAGATTCTATGTGAGGGAAAACCAATCATTCGGGAGAGGGGAGAGCACATCCCAGCCCGGCAGCAGGAGTGCCCAGCCTAAGGGGTGAGGGGTGGAGGGACGGGGGGCCTGGGAACCCAGGGGGAGGGCGGCAGGGCCTAGGGGTGGGGTGAGGTGGGTGCGGGGCCGCAGTGTCTCTAGGTGCCTCCCTTTTTCTCAGAGAAATAAGCGGCACAGCCGTCAGCTGAGAGGGAGGGAGGAGGAGGTGTTGTAAAATATTTGTCTCCAATGCAGTTCTCACAGCCACCGGGTGAAGTAGGCGCCATCACCCCCGCTCTGCAGATGAGAAAACAGGAAGGGGGCCAGGTAAGTTGCCAGCTAGGGCAGGACTGAGGTCTGAACGGGGCCTGGAGGGCATGGGGTATGGAACTGGGATTCGACTACACCCTGTCCCTCCCGCCTCCCATTCCAGTCCAGTGCTGCACCAGCAGGGAGGACACTGGGGTCCAGACAGGGAAAGTGATGTCCCAAGGCCAGACAGCGAGAAGGTGACGTTGTCATTGCTGGTCCTCTTCCTCCCTCCCCTAAGCTCTATGGGCACAACACACCTGGGCCACTCTGTTCCCACCGCTACCCTGTCAGCCGTGTAAGGCTGCCTTCCGGGGCCCTGCTCCGTGGGCTCCTCTCTCTCCTCCTGCCTTGGAGCCGCTCTGCATGTCGGGACAGCGCCTGTCTCCGCTGCAGCAGACCCCAGCCTAGGGTCTTCTGGACCCTGGCCGCACATTAGAATTTTCTGATTTAACTGGGCTGGGGCCTGGGCATTGGTATTTTTTAAATTGAGATATAGCTGGGTGTGGTGGCTCACGCCTGTAATCCCAGCACCTTGGGAGGCTGAGGCAGGCAAATTACTTGAACTCAGGAGTTTGAGACCAGTGTGGGCAACATGGCACTGGTCTGTACCCCCCGCAAAAAAAAAAAAAAATTAGCTGGGTGTGTGCACCTGTAATCCCAGCTGCTTAGGAGGCTGAGGTGGGAGGATCAGCTAAGCCCAGGGAGGTTGAGGCTGCAGTGAGCTATGATTGTACCACTGTACTCCAGCCTGGGCGATGGAGTGAGACCCTGTCTCGATCAATCCATCAGTTAATTAATTAATGTACAAAGTGCATGTCAGTGAACATGAGCCACTACACAGAACAGGATCCCGCATCCCGGAAGGTTCCCTCCTGCCCCTTCCCAGTTCATGTCTGCCCCTGGTAACCACTCTCCTGTCAGGACCAGGTTTGCCTGTTCTGGAACTTCATAGACATGGAATCACGTGGAATGTGCTGTTTGACGCTCAGTGCTCCATCTGTGAGAGTCCGCCGTGCTCCGGTGGGCTGAGTGGTTTGCCCTTCTCCACCACTGTGTAGTTGGCGTAGGTCTAGTCTCTGGAAAAAATAGTCTGAGCTGAAGGTTTGGATGCAGGAGGTTTGGATTCAGGAGGTTGCTGCTGGAATCAACAGGATTGAAGGATGGAGGACTGGGCTGAAGGAGAAGTCACAGTAGAGGCCTCAGCTGACCCCACATGGAGCCCTGAAGCTGGGGTGACTCTTGAACATCATATCATATTAAGGCAAGGGGCCAGGGCTTTGCACCCCTGCATTGACCAGTCACTGGTCAGTGCGGCTGGTCAGTGCAGTCACTGGTCAGTGCAGGCTGTCTCTGGGGAGGAGGCATAACCTTGGATGAGGGGGCTCCCTTCAGCCCAGGGCAATGCCCAGAGAAGGACTCAGGCGTGGGCCATCAGCAGGCAACACCCCCAACAGCTGGGGTCAAAAGCGACCTCACCCTGAGGAGGTGGCAAACCTACAGCACCCACCGCAGCCTGCCCCTCGCACTACTTGGAAATCTGAGCCCTTATCATAATTAATCCCACCTGGGAACAGCTTCTTCAGAGTCCTGGTTGGTCTCTTTTCCTGGGGAAGCTAATAAGGGGAAGGTCAGTGAGACGAGCGACAGTCCTGCTGCTGCAGCAGGACTCTGGGCCACAACAGACACTTGTAATCTCCCTCCTCAGTGACCCTGACCTTGGCTAGCACCTCTGTTGGTCTAGGTGGCTTACCTTGTGAGGGGACCCGGCCCCTCATGTCTGAGGGAGTCTGAGTCTCTGACCTTCCTGCTCTTCTCAAACCATGACCATTGCCCTTGCCCATTTCCCATCAATACCAGGCAAGGGAGCACCAAGAGATGTCCCAGGGAATTGCCTGGCTGCCAATGCTATTCTTCTTCCCTGGCCCTTGCTGTACAAACAGTGTGAGGCTTTTACAGAAGGCGCCTGTGGATGATCAGGGCCAGTTATTCCTGCCAGGATGGTGACTCTGTGTTGTTGTTGTTTTTTCCCTGCTGGTTTCTTGCCACAAGGGACCTGAAGGGAAGTGGTGGTAGTTATAGCTGAAAGTTTAATCTGACTCTTGCTGTCTCTTGGTGGAACTATTTTCCCTTTGGGAACCAGGATTTCTAACCTCGCAGTGCCCAGAGTTGTCCCTGGGTGTGATGGTGAGTGGGGCTCTTCCTACTTCTACTCTGTAGTTCTTAGACGCATCTATTCTGGTCCCATTAGGGACTCAGCACCATGCAGTAGTCATTACAGTGTGCGCCGTGTTCCAGAAGACAGCTCACCACCCTTGCAGGGGATCAGCTCCAAGCTGACACCTCATCTGCATCTTTTTATTATTATTTATTTGATTGACTGGTTGGTTGATTTGTTGCCCAGGCTGGTCTTGAGTTCCTGGGCTCAAGCAATCCTCCCGCCTTGGCCTCCCAGAATGCTGGGATTACAGGCATGAGCCACCTTACCTGGCCTATTATTTTTTAAAGTGACAAGTAAAAATTGTCTGTATTGGCTATGCACAGTGGCTCACACCCATAAACCTAATACTTTGGGAGGCCGAGGCAGGCGGATCACTTGAGCTCAGAAGTTCAAGACCAGCCTGGGCAACATGGTGAAACCCTGTCTCTACTAAAAATACAAAAATTAGCCAGGTGTGGTGGCGTGTGCCTGTAGTTCCGGCTACTTGGGGGGCTGAGGCAGGAGAATCGCTGGAGCCAGGGAGGTGGAGGTTGTAGTGAGCTGAGATGGTGCCACTGCACTCCAGCCTGAGAGTTGATAGAGTGAGAGTTTGTCTCAAAAAAAAAAAAAAAAAAGTATATTTTTATGGTGTGAAACATGATGTTTTGAAATTGTGGAATGGCTAAATCAAACTAATTAACATATGCATGACCTCACATACTTTTATGGTGAGAACACTTAAAATCTATTCTTGTAGCAATGCTCAACAATACAGCACATTGTCAGGAATTACAGCCACCATCCTGTACAGTAGAGCTCTTGGTCAGCTGCATTCAAGGGGCTGTTACATCACCCCATCCAGCGGCAGTGCTGGGTGGTGCTGTGTGTGGTGAGACCGGCAGGTTCGACGTCGAAAACCCACAGCCACACTTCCTTTGATGGCAGGTAGTTTCAGAGGCTTCCAAGAGCTATCATAGTAGCTCTTGCCCCACGGGCCAAAGCACCAGTGTGGGGGTTCTGCAATGTGTGTCTATTCCAATTATACACTCAGGGACCAGCGAGACCACCACTGGATGTCCTGTGGATCCACTGGACTCCCTGTGAGCCAAAGCCGGGCTGGGACTCCACTCATCACCTGCCCCCATATGCTTCCACCCTAACAGGGGGCCATGATGCCTCTTTGGGTCCCCAGACCAATGTCCATGTGGACCCTGTGTCTGACAGTCTTTGAAATGCCTGAGTACTCATCTTTCTCCCACATATGGTTACTCAAGTAAAAGGCATGTACGCCCTTCTCAGGAAGGATGATGGAATCATCATCACATGTGCTGATTCGGGGGTTGCAGGGTCCTTCCTTCTGGGGACCTGGTCTCTCCTTCAGTCAGTTGGATGTGAAACCTTCCTCAGGTCTGGAAACTTCTCAAAGGATCAGGACTTTTCATTGGGTTACTGCTGTCAACCCCCATCATCAAGCCTTGGATGTTCTCTCTTTTTTGTTTTTTTTTGGGGGACAGGGTCTCACTCTGTCACCTAGGCTGGAGTGCAGTAGTGTGATCAGGGCTCACTGATTGCAGCCTCGACCTCTGGGTTCGAGTGAGCCTCCCGCCCCAGCCTCTTGAGTAGCTGGGACCATAGGCATGCACCACCACACCTGGCTAATTTAAAAACTTTTTTTTTTTTTTTGAGACAAGGTCTCCCTGTGTTGCCCAGGCTGATCTTGAACTCCTAGGCTCAAGGGATCCTCCCACTTAGGCCTCCCAAAGTGCCGGGATTACAGGTGTCAGCCACCACGCCCAGCCCTTGGACTCTTTTGATTGCATCGGGTGGGCAGTGTCCTTGTTGGCTGCCCATCTGGCTTGCCCTGGGACACGGAGTCGATGAACCATTTCCATGGCTTGGCGGGTCCAGCAGCTCTGACCTGGCTGCTAGCGGTGGTAACTGCCTCCACCTGAAGACTCCTGAGCCTGCGCTTCTGATGACCAGGCGCCGCCACCTGGCCTCTTTCTTCGGGATCCTGTCATCCCCGCTATTGTCAGGGCGCCCAGTTCTGTAACTGCAGCTCCAACTAGCAGGTCTTCAAAGGACATTCACCTGGGCTTCTTAGGGCTTTCCCGTTGGCCTTGGTAAATGAGGTGGCTGCCCGGCCTTCCTGCAGGAGACGGATAGTGAGTGGGTTTCTGGCCAGACACGGCAGACACCCAAGCATGCCCTCTTCTCCAGGCCTTTGGATGCTTTCTTCCGCGGCCTGACACCGCATCCCTGCTGACTTCTACTGTGGGCTTTCGTTTTCTCCAAGCAGCATGTTAAGCCCTCTTGCCAGGGTGTTAATCCTCGTATTATGGGATTGACTCTCCTTTATCCCACTTGATGTCCCACCCCGGCCTTGGGCCAGCCCCTGAGCCTATCTGCATAGTCTTCAAGCAGGGGGAGTGCTCGCCGGGGGTCACTTCCGCACCTCACTCTTTCCCAAGCAGGTTCTGCACTTGACGCAGCCAACTCATAGTGGGCTGAGCACTGAACTTCTTCTGTTTTACGCTCCACTCATAACTACGCCCTGGCCTGCTCCTCAGCTTTTTCCTCCCCTCCTGCTGCAGGAGAGGAGGATTTATTTGCTGCTAAGGAGGCCCTTGGCTTTCTCACTTGGCCTTAAATTAGTGCTGAGTCACACTCAGCCTTGCGTTGTCTTTCTTTAGTGCACGCGGGCCCCAGCACAGCCATCCCCTTCCACAGACTTTATAATTAATTACCACTCCCCCGGCCTCTCCAATTCGGGAGCTCTTGTCCCTGCAGTGCGGTCTCTTCCCTGCTACCTGCTGGG